GCACGCAACATGGGACCACACATTCCGTTCTATTTTAATTAGGCAGAGGAGCAATCTACAAATGGTCCATTTTATAAAGCAATCGAAAGGAGTGAAGAATAGGCTGATAGTGGAACGAATTTGTTCAGCAAATCACATTGACTTTCCCAGATGGTGTAGATGCAAACACTTGTTCCATCACCACTCACATCAAGTCATGGACACCTTAATCTCAAATGACTTTAACCAACGGCGACATGTAATTCTGCCATGATCAAGGATAGAGGATCACCCTCAACGTGATGCACTCATTCTTGAGTGATTCAGCACCACAATAAAACTTGATGTCAACCATTTATTGGTAGTACGTTCTACTGTCACATCTTTTTCAAATGCTATGCAGGTTTTACAGAAAGCTTTTGCAGCTTTGATGTTGTGCTTGAGTTCGTAAAGCAGACAACACTGATTCACATCGGGTTCAACTAACACCACGATATGAGGATTAAGAATGACGGAAACTGTTACAGAGCAGTGCAATCAAGAGTAAGGTACCGGCAGACTGATCCACATATATGCTTTATAATTCATCTTATCAAATGAATACATCTTGCATGTTTCCAAAGGTCTAAACAAGTCGTTGCAGTAAGCCATACCGAAAACCGGGTAAAGCCTAATCAGCCTACGCATTCCATCCTAGAAAGTACCCCAACCGCAAGTTGCCAAAACAGATTTCAAAAGAGACTTCAGATAGGATATTGTAATTTTTTACATTTGGTGTTAAATCTTTATTGCGATAGGGAACGCATTGGAAATTAGCCAATAAGACACGATATACAAATCAGCACTACTGGACTTAGACCAGTGTCGAGGTTAAAAGTTTAACAAAAATATTAGTTTAATTATCAGATTAAGAGTAAATTATTTAAGGAGTTTCAACAGGAACTAGATAGGTAAATGATAAAGTGAATGTACCACTGCGATCAGAATGTATTCAAAATGATTAATTAAAAAGTCGCGTTTGACGCCATCCAGTATAAAAGTTTCTACCTCTCGCTGCCACACTAATTCTTCTACGGCGTTTTCGAAACATTGAAGGGAGGATTTGAAGTTGTTTTCGTTAAAAGTGTAAGGCTTTGCAATAAAGTTTCATTTATTGCCACAATCAACAAGTGGCTAAGATGGTTCACTCAACGCACTCACATGTAAGGCCACGAAAATTGTTGCTTTGCCATATTGAGCGGACTTTCAGTGATACCTTTAAAGTTTACCCAATGCAAGCTAATTTTTTAGCATCTCCAATAAGTTTTGGCTAGTGCTGTGTTACTAGGCTCACGCACCTGGACAACGCATACCATATTAATACCACTATGCAAAAAGATGTCAACTGGGTTCGCGTGTGCAGAGACTATTCGGTGCTGTTTTCCAAACTCAAATTCTCCTTTGATTATCATCTTTTAAACCATTGTTGCATTCTTCTCATGAATGGAAGAGTAAAAGTAGGAGAGCCAAACCAGACTCAACCCCACGTATTATGCAATTTTCAGATAAGATTGACAACCTATTGAAACCAATCAATGCAGTGACGGTATCCCATTTACAAATAAGCATGTGGTAGCTCCTCCTGCGATACAGTTTAATTTACTAGAAGGTAGCTCACATCCTATGGTCTCCCTTTAAGTCGGATTTTTCATTTTTTTTACGGAATTAGTAGGGCACAGAAAAAGAGGAACGAGGTCAAATCCCGACTCTTCTACGGTAAGCTCTGTGCATTCTGCGAGTGGGGGAAACTTATTGATACTCACCTTTTGCGTGCCAACAAGGGAGCCGTCGAGGTAGAAGCTGCAGAGGCTGGTGCGCACCACATTAGCCCGAGCGAAAACGAGAGCCACATGGCGCCACACGTTGGTGGTCCAGAGGGAGACACTGCTTGTGGTGAATACAACGGTGTGGGCGTCGTCGCCTGTTAAGTTGGGTGAGTCCAATGCAATGTCCTTTGAACGCTGGTTGCCGCCCTCTGAGTAGGAGAGGAGCGAGTAGAACACTAGACCATTGCGCGATTAAATTATTTTTTTTATAGATCCATTACCGTCTCCATGACCACCATCAGCAAAATTGCTTAGCAAGCAAGTGATTCACAAATAATACTTCAAAGTCTATTATTTCTCAAACAATCAATGCACTGTTCGATTGATACAACAACTAAAGGATAGGTTTTCTACCTTCAAACTGAGTTGCGTTGATTTTGCAGCATTTGAAAGAATGAGCATTGACCCATAAAAGGACTGGCTTAGCCGATGTCAACCTCTTATCCGAAAGATGCTTTGTCAATTTGCTTAAATATTCGTGATAGACTTTGCTCTATTGTACAGGTTAAATCAAGTTATAATAGGTTATGCCAACTTAAGGCCGGATCACCAATAATGTTTAATTGCCTTTTGAAATTCATTTCAAATAGTCTCAACCAAACGCTCGAGATTGTCAAGAAGACCGCGGGCCATGTAACCGCACTATACATGCCCGTGATTTTTATTTGCAAAGGTGCAAGATGGCTTCTAAAACTCGCTTGTTTAATGCATAGAACATAAAAATAAACAAGATAGCATTCGTTAGAAACAGAGGATTTGACTTTGAAGGAGGTCCATGACATGCCTGTTGGAAGCAGACGCTCCTTCGAGGAGATGACAAGCGACCGGGACTGCGGGTCCAGGTGGATTGAGAGGCATATGAGCTGTTCATTAGTGCCTTGGACACCCTTGAAGACCGTCAGCAGACGCACTGGATGCGACACAGAGGAGTCCAATGGAGGTGTTCCAAAGTCGTCCACACAAATCCAGGAGCAATAGGTGATGCCGTTAGCGGGAGGGAATGCTCGTTCACCTGAGTAGTGAGGAACAACAGGATTTGAGCACCGGGTATTCGACAAGATTTGGAGTAAATGAGATACCCGCATTCAGTAAGTTCGACGATTAGATGCAGGTTAGGTACTATATGCATGAACATGGAAAAAGAAAAGCCTTTCAAATGCGAAGTAGCGTTGCACAGGATGCTAGTAGCATGGCCAAAGTAGGTTCCGTTGTTTTAGGGATGGATTGTAAGTCATATGTGTGGTGTAAAACGCACAAATTTCGTAACTTTAGTGAATGCAGCCATGCATTTTTAAATAACATCCATTTTCACTTGAAAATAGTGTACTATTTTCACCAAGGTGAATGCTAAAAAGCACGGCAGTAGTGCAAGTGCTCCAAGTAAAAGTCCAAAGTACTACCAACGATGCCCAAATCTGCCAATGTTCAAGTGAAACAGATTTAGTTGTTGAACGTCAGATGGAGTCTTCCAGTCCAATTAGGTTAATTGGCTTTACCAGCCGTGGTTGCACAATCTAGTACTTTTATCGCGTTATTTCACTCAACTGAATAAAACATTCTTTCATTCTCTCTGCAACTGACGGCTTAGGTATTTTCAGCTATAATCTTAGTAAATTGTATTACAACGTTACTCCGCAAAGTAAAAGCCACTAGTTATTTGCATTGAGTAGTGATTGAGCACTCAATTCACCTCAATTAGGGATAAAGTAATGACGGCCATTATTCACCATACCTGACAATGCGACAGCCTACACTTCCACAGAAATAGGGCTTTGGCATTCATCAATAGTAGTTAAAACTAGATCAAATAGCTACCTGTTTTTAGCTTTTAACAGGTGTCTAACTCATTTATGCATATAGGTGAATCCAACATGATAATCCAAAACACCTAACCTTTCAGCGCCGCATCGTCAGTACGTGTCAGAATGGAAACCTCCTCAGCGTTCGCCCTACTTTACTGCCAAGAAATGATGGCGAAACATGAGACCACAATGCTACAATACTTTTTGATGAGATAACGGACGCAAAAGTTAATGCGATCGCACAATCGGTACACAAGGCCAGAAGAAGTGCCCGCAATATTACCCATTTACTGGTGCAACACTGGCAGAATATAAAGCGACCTTGATTAGTCTTTCCAAGTTGCAAATAGCACTAAGTTCTAACCCGAAATCTGTTAGAATATCTTCTGGCAATTTAACCACTCATCGTTACGCCAAATTTATTAACATCTTGCTAAGAAAGATGAGTTACCGCTATGACGAAAAACCCGTATTGATAAAACCTTCGTTGCACACTATTCTAATTAAGTTCAGAACGATCTCATGTCCAAACAACAATCTCAAAAACAAATCCCCAAGATTTTAATCAATCCAGTGACACAAATCATTCCACAAGGCTTAAAAGCCGCTAAATGAATGTAAAAGTAACTGCCTGGATTGAAAATATGTGCCAATGACAGCTCATAGTTACACCTTCCCTAAATGATGCACTAATTCAAATTAAAAGCATGGTTTGAAATAGGGCAGTGAGATGGTTTACCAATGCCTACTCCACCAGCACAAGTTGAACTTGCTCCAGCTAGTCCCGCGTCACCACCAAATGATTTCACAGGTGCAACAATGCGTTGAGGCGCAAGAGATGGCAGGAAGAGGCACCCAAAGCCTTCCATTGACATGTTGAACTCCACGAATGCCGGCAGACACGTGGTATTGGCAGTTGTTGCGGCAGTAGCGGTATTGGCGGTGGTAATGGCAGAGTATCGATTGGCACCGCTGCGCTGCCGCCATACGGTCTGCTCGAGGAGATCAGTGATAGCAGGCAGCGCGGGGAGGTTGAGGAGGGGAAGGTCCTCGGCTTTACCGCCTCCTGAAGCTGCTGTAATGCCATCGTTGTCGGACTTTGATTCAGAGTTAGTGAGAACCTTTGTACAGGTGCCGTTGGGTGATTGCTGATGCTCACAAAACTGACCGGAGAGACGCAGATAATCGCTGGAGAGTGAAACGCATTGAGCTTGGTTATGCGATGGAATATTGGTGAATAAGGGGGGCGTTCGTTAAAACTACTGCTACCATCATTAGTAAAATCGACTCGAGAACAAAGAAATGAGGGAGTTACGGTTCAAGTGAAGGAGAACTGGCCATTGGATAGTTAAGAAATATGGTAGAAGTGGATATTGACAAGGAATTGGATGATGAAATGAGTAATCAAGGGGTATGTTGGCAAAGAAGGATTTCATGTGATTAACTAAACCTTACTTCAGTGTTGCAATAGCTTTGAAAAGATACAAAATTAAAAGTTGATGTAGAGATGTGTTGGGATATGACAGGCTGAAAAACAAAATTTAATTGTGGAATGATATAGTAATAGCTTAAAAGGGCAGAACGGCTTATCGCCTATTAGTTAAACGGATACATGTGGTTTCTAGATAGTGCCAATTTCTCGCTCCAAGGTAACACGGCTTTCACTGCAAAAAGCATTTTACTGAACTCAAAAAATGCGATAAAGATGCAAAAACCTCCAAATACACATTTTACATATTAGTAGTCTTTACATCAAAAGATTATAGTAATTTGAAGAATAAGATGAAATTCCACTTTTAGATTATCTGAACAATTTTAGCATGGCTGAACGGTAGTAATTTTGGCATTTTTACACAAAACTTCCAGCAAAGACCTCCCATCTATTATTCATTTTGCACGTATTTTGGTGGTCAGTACTGCACACCAACAGAGGGGTTCAAAGATTTTTCCCACTTGACTTATCCACATGATCATTTTTATTTGCAAACAGACTCATTGTGACCAACTACAACGAAAATTTTCACGTTCATGGGAACGGAGAGAATCATGGAAACAGACATCCAAGTGCCTGCGTTTTTGATCGTCTGTCGGCAACACCTTAGACCCTCAGGTGGCATAAGTTTCACCGAACTCAAGACTGAAATAGTGAATCACGTCAAAGGCTGATCTCATGGATATAGTCTACTTATTTACAAACTGCAGCTGTCGTGGGCTACGTTTCCATAAGACAGTTCTGTTTCCTGTGGTTAAGACGGTAGCTAGAAATACAGAGCACTATCAATCCGAACAGTTTGATCAAATCAATGAAGGAAAATCTTGTCCCCTCAACGACAGAAATGAGGTTAAGCTGCCGTTTTACAACTTTTACGTGAGATTGGAAAAGCATTCGGAGTTCCACTGAAGGCTTTGCAAGGCATATCTTTACAATTCTCTAGGTAAATTATGAAATAAGGAGCGTGCTAAAGATAGATAAGTGCCTACTAATTTTAAAGGATGAAAACGAACAAACTAGTCAATCAAGAGATCTTTTGGTTATAATAATTGCTTGTGGCTCCAAATTCCACCTCAGAAGTTTATTTTAGTGAAAAAGTCGCGCGTTTTTAACCAAATTGATGATCTTGAACACATTGAAAGCACAAAACTCGCAGTTCCTAAAGAACGATACGATGAATGTCATCAAGAAAGAAAAGGAAACAATTGGAAAGCTAGCTTTGAGAGACCAACAAAAGCATCTTACCAAACCAATGTAATAGTAAAAGAGCAGCGGGCGTGAATAGATTTGTCAAGGGTATTTTTTGAAGTTTCCGGTCAAGTGACAACATTTGTTGCAGATTAATTAGGAGAAATTCACTAATAATACACCCCTTAGAATCTATGACGAACGTAATCTTAAATTAAAACTAGATCATACCAAGTGCGAATGTGGAAGGAGATGCATTCATCAATGCATGGCATTTGACAGCGATCTGTCAGCCAGCGTTTGAATAAACATGAGAAAAGTGTGAAGAATCTGATTTCGGTGATGACGGGTCTTGAAAAGCGCTTACATGGAGGGATGTACAAAATAGTCCTGCAATATCATATCTGCGTCGAAAACAGAGAGAGAAGGATGGGCGCCAATTGGTTGAGCATAAGTGTTGCATGTGACCAAGTCTGGCCTGCAAGTCAGTTGCTCTCAAAGGTTGGCAAACATTGGGACGAATAAATCGGAAATTTGAACGCCCAAAAAATTATTCGTAACTTGCACCAAAGAGGAAACAGATTCATGCAATGCATCGAGTATTGTTGTGGAGCCATCCCCTTCGGTATTTGCACGGTATGGAGGAAAATTCCTCCTGTGGATTTATCTGTGTCAACTGAGAATTCCGAAGGTGGCTGGCCTGATTCACGGAGTGTGAAACATCACACAAGCAATGACTCTACGAAATACCCAAAAAGTGAATATTAAGTGAGGGGGTTTTATAACAGCCGTGAGCTAAGTAAGGTGTGGACCAGGCGAGTGGTCGAACGGCTGACCGAAAGGTTTAAGCATAAGCGCTTGGACACGCATTCGGGACAGATGACAGCTTTGGTTTTAAAGTAATTTAAATAAGTACCAAATTAATATGTTACATGAATACTTTTGTGAAGTAAAGCAGGGAAAGAAATAATGGTTGTTAGGCTGTTTGAGAACGAAAATACCATCATCTTGCGCGAATGTGGCCATAACGAATCATCGTAAATGCTTTTCAATAAGCAAGTGAATAAATGCTGTAGAAAAATACATTGGCTAGAGTTGAGACAATCCAAAGACGGGTCATTCGACTTTTTCATGCTTTTTCAGGTGAACACAAGACTATGGCTTAAACCATAAAAGCGCCATTTGAGGGGGTGGAGCACAATGAATAACATTAATCCCTCAGTTGAGTCGGGTTAAGAATGATCGTGATTAACCTCGATAGAAATATAATAGAAGCATGTGAAAACTGGGAGTTGCAAATAATCAGAAATCAGAAATCCTCAATTAAAATCATACTTTAACCTCAGTGATTAAAATAAATACATACCATAAAGGCAAAAATGTCATACTCGGTCCATTCTGATAAAAAAGGAGGAAGAAGATCCCAGAACAGGTTTCAAAGCTTGGAGTAAGCCCCCATAATAGCGTGAGACCACGCGCAATGGATTACAATCGGAAGGCCTCATCAAGAATCCCACTTTATTAATCCAATCGCGGCGTTTTATGATGGCGAGAGAAAAAAACGGTTTAATTGCATTTTCATGGGCATGTTTTTACAGTGAATGCTAATAAGAGTGCACCCCACGCACGATTTGAGGCTCACAATAAGCCTTTGTAGGTCTAAAGAGGGTACTCAGGAATTGTAGCCTGGGTAGTAGTAAAAATTTTCGCTAAAAGCCGCGTTTGCTTAAGCGACCCCGATAATTACTGAGTACAATGGTATAATTAAGCATTGATAAGGTGTCAGTAAGTCCAAGAGTGAGTCCCAATAAATTTCTGCAAAAAAAATCAGAGGGCTCTTAAAATCTAGGAATAAATTACAGTAAAAGTGTCAGTAGAAGTAGGAATAGAAGGCTTTGCGGAAAATCTATCCTCAATAATTCCATCACAATGGTATCTGATACTGATGCATTTGTTTTAGCGGTATAGATATGAGTTTTCACTGTGAAACAAGTCATGATGATCACAGAACACACTTTTAAGATCCAAAAGGCACAAACCGCACCCAAGAGCCACAACTCACAAAGCCTTACCGAAAGTCGCGGGGTGTGAGCGATTGAGCAGCAAGGAGGGAGAAGAGAGTGGCGACGGGTGCGTGTAGAGGGTGCTGGGAGGACGCCAGTGCGGGTCGGAAGTGTACCAAGAGGGTGCGCGGCATACCCATGCTGCCCACACCAGGATCGGTGATGCCCCCGCCGCAGAGCAGCTGCTGACTCCGTTCCGACTCGATCACAGCGTTGAGTAGCTCCAGACTGAAGTACTGAAGAAAAAAGACATGAGTTCGAATCACCTTTTTAATGCCTAATGGACATTAGTCTCTCATGGGTGGGCATTTTACTAAATTCGCAATAAGAATGTCCTTCGGTGGGTGATTATTGCAAAGAGGCGCCAATTTCACCTCAAAAACACGCCTAGATTTGTAGATACCTAAAAAAGACTTTTGGAGCAAAATTTTTAAAACCATAAAGGAGTTAGCAGACCATATGCGGCTCAAGAAATAAGCACAAACAAAGTGATAGTGAAAGTATACGGAAGAGCGGCCTGGGGATTTCCGTTTTATAATGAAAGTGAAGAGCACCTTCCCCTTCCCACGCCTAGGAGGTATGTGCTCAGCAAACACATCCGAACGTCATGAATTGGCATTTCAAAGATTCCACAATTCAATTTTTTAATAACCAAGGTTCTTTGTTGTACGTACCTACCGGTTTCTTATGAAAGCGTACCAAGAATGCTCAGCCTGTGAGTCATTGCATTTTTGACTTCCACTTTAGTTGTTCTTGATCGCTTGGGACTATTTCAAAGCACATTTAAATTCTTTTAAGATCAAAAACTTGGAAAAGGTAGCAAAATTTATTTACTGGCGACCCCCAAAAGGATTAACCAGGCTAGAGTACGACACATTAACATACAATTAACCGTTGTTACAATTTAAAAACCATCGTTATGACAGATTATTTCAATTCTGATATGAACAAGCCACGTAGGAGGACCAGGCTGAGATGAAAAGATTCGATGGTGAGAAGCCAAAAACAACCGCAATGGAAGCGATGGTACTTCAAGTGAAAATTAACGGGGGTTAGGAGCTCCTGAAGAGCAATGTCTAAGGGTACAGGCTAGCCTGTAAGACTGCTTCAAATTCATCATGCAGTTGCATTCACAAGGTAGCTGAGAATCTACAAAAATCCGCAGCGCATCCTAGGGTCAAGGAGTCGAAAATGAAGGTAATTAGAGATTCGAAGAAATTCTCATGGTAAATATTTATCCCTTTTCGCATAATCCATGCCCAATGCGGTTTGAGAAGTTTTAAAAGGTTTATACAAAAAGAGGAAAAGCAGAGCCAAGGAACTTTCTTGTCTGAGAGAATAATCATTGCCCACCATTGTCAAGCATAATATTGGTAGTGTTTCTATATTAAATAAACCATAAATGTGTGCAGAATTCACCCAAATTCGGTGCGTTTTAAAAAGCTTTTTTAATCTGGCAATCAGAAGTTTATTGTAGGTCACTCCCACAGACTAGCTTACAGGAAATCGCATGCATTTAATTCGCAGTAACTTCCTTGTGTTGAACGCCAGTCAGTAGTGTTTAGTCTTATATCCAGCTATAGCCTCAACGATGCCAATTCGAAATCTCGAGTCTTTTGAAGGTTACTCACCATTCTTCGTTACTTTCAGCGTTTTCACATCGAGTATAAGAGTAGACCTTGAGAAGAAACACCAGATCAGAAAGCCCATATTTACGTAAACGCTCTTTCCAATGCTTTTATTTCCAGGGCCAAGTGAAGATATCTCAAAGTTATTTTTACAAAGCCACTTTTTCTCAGATTCGTCTTTACGCAACCAATGGAACAGCGCAGATCGCTCGAAACAACAAAGCATTTGCAAAAGCCAACGTACGGCGTAAATTATCATAAAGAATCAATTCAGTGGCAAGAGGTATACTCTTCAAAATAATTCAACCATGTGGAAAATTCAAAATGAGGCAAAATTAAATGCTACGGGTGATTTAAAAATAGATGTGATTGAAGTGGATACTTCAAAAATTATGCATAGACTAACATTGGGATTCTACCAGTTAATGTTCGGCAATGATTTCAAATAAAATTGGGTGCATTAAAAGAGTGTACAAGTGACAGAAATAGCCTGGGATTTCTTCGATGCCATGACGTCAAAGAAATGCATTTTTTTGCCTTGCCTGGTGAATGATGACGTCATCTTTTAAAGGATTTTTCACTTTTTTCTCCCGTGTTTTGGTTAATAACTACGTATTTTGGGACAAGCAATACAAATAATAATGACATCAATCATTAATACACTTCCTTAAAAATGCAATTTCCCAATAGCATCCCATTTTGCCATGCTACCATTAGTGTTCTGAGTCAGGTATAGGGAGCAAACTTTTAAGCTTTTGTTTCAATATAGGCTAAGTGAACATTCAACAAGCAAGCACTGAAGTGTAAAAATGCAGGGAAAAGCATTAAGCTCGGTTGGGATAATTTCCGGTGCTTTTTCTTCATATTGTGTGGCGGTTACCATAGCTGAGCGTTCAGAAAGCTCCGCGTTTGTCGCACGACAGTGCCTTTTCTGAACTTTGCAAGGAACTCACAGAGGAATATTTGCAAATACACTTTACTCACATATTTAGACATAAATTTATGTGCCAGGGACACGACAGATCATACGTTTGGCAGAGAGCTGAATTTCAGACCCATAAAACACTATGCTAACATGAAAATATATCCAAAAGGTATTTGCAATAGGCTAAATCACATTGAAATTTGAAATGACTAAACACGACCAGTATAATGAAATATCTGAAACATTAAATAAATCGCTGACTTGCAACATCCCAACCTGCCTACCTGCAAATTCAGAGTGGCTGCTTTGTATCCCTGAATCTGCACAATAGCAGGAATAAGCCTCAGAATGGTAAGAACGGCTCCGGTATGGACAATGGAAGGAGGAGAGGAGAAGAGGCGTCCGTTGGATCCCTTTGCCTCACTATCAAGCACATTTTGATCTGCATCCAGGGAAGTTCTACGACAAAGTACTCATGCTTACGACCACTCAGATGGACAATCGATTGTGTGATAGGCACCTCAATTGCTTACCTGTCAAACTCGTCCAGCGCCATGCCAATGAGGTAGCGGAAGATGAGACAAACGTCGAGAAGGGCTGTTGGAATGTCAGCAAACTGATCCATTTTCGTCGCCTGTTCCAGAACTGATGGTTTTAGGAAGGCCAATCGAAAAGTCGCCAATAGGCAATTGTCAAGATTGGGGCTGATTTCGCCCGCTGAATCACCACCATTTGAGGTGACAGTGGAGTCATCGAACGATGCGGATTGGCAGTTAGGCGAGCCAGCACTTGTCGGGGCAGTATATATAACCGTCTCCTTGTTGAAGCAGCCCAGAAGACGAAGGGCCTGTTCCAAGCTCTCAAATTGCAACTAGGGACAAGAAATTTATTAGCACTAAATATTTAATAAAAAAAGGTTTAATTGTAGGCATGAAACTGTAATGAAGCACAGGGCCTGCAGATCAGGTAGCACCTGAGCGGTAATGCAGACTGCGCATGAAAAAGGAACCAACAAGGGCCTCAACTTGGCAAAAAAACTACTTGAACACTCAGGAACTTGAACGTGCCTATAGGCTGGCGTCGAAGCCATGATGACGTAGGAACCGACGCTATAAATAAAGGCCAACACTGCTTTCATGATCTGTTGTACATAATAAAGGATCTAGACACGAAGGACACTCCCATGAAACCACAAAGTGGCGTGGTCGATGAAATTCTTTCAGTACATTATCTTTGGTAGATTCAGTGAACCCGATTATCGTTGTGGTGGCTACCACAAGTGTAACAAATGGAATTGTTACCAAAGACGCCCATAACAAGATGGAGATGTGTCGAACTTATACACTAATTCCACGTGAGTACTTCGTCTATCGCTGAAATACGAAGCTCTAATCAGACCATCTAGCCCTTTTGTGAAATTATGACAAATTTATTTACGGGTCCCTACGTTTTGCTAAATATTTTGCCGTATCCCCCACGCTAAAAGTGGAGCCAACTCAATGATACAAATTAAGTCAGAAAAAAGCTAATTTTCATCAGACAGTCTAAGAACACAGCTGCAACGATATCCTGAAAGCTACCCCACAGGAAGCATAGATTATTATTCGTAAACAATGTGTTTAAGCTGTAAAATTTTGTTCCAGCGATTCGTCAATGAAGTTGCCGAAAAAAACAATGGAAATCCAGTCTCGGATCGACTGACTAAACCACATCCAGACACATTAGTGATATTTTCAGGAGAGGAAGGAACCGGTAAGTTATATTAGGAAAATCTTTACGTCGCAAAACAAATAAGCTATAAAGTGATACCGAAACCGCAGTTGAATATTCACTGCACTTAGCATGACAGTACGAATGAAGGAAGGCGAATCCAACCGAGCCGGGGGTTGCGTGTACTTGACTACCTAAAGCAATGAAATATCAGACTAAAAACTAAGCTGAATCAAAGCCAGAACCGATTTATAAGCCGTGATTTCTTTATTTTAAAAATTAAACATCGAGTCTTCAAAAGGTATCATAACATCACTTTATGGATATTTTAAAACAGAACAGTGGCCACCAAAAGGATAATGCTGTCAGCAACGGCAGGACCGAGTGAATTCATGCCTTGTTGCCAAAACGGTCGAAATTGTTAAGAAAAAATGGAGATATTCCGAGGTCCGCCCAATCCTGTTAAATCAGAACTTCAGTTTTCCCATGTTTCAATTCAAACGATTGCGAAATGTTATAATTTTGGCAAGTACGGTGAGCGTTCTTCATGGAAAACAAATTCCAACAAATCCCGGGAAAAGAGAAACTCAAAGCCATAATCTGTATGACCAGTTTCAAGAGGTGACGAGCTTAAGCATTTACTTAGAAAGCACCGCCATGAGGTCTTCATGAGAAAATGGAGATGGTTGAAAGAAGCGTGAAAAGTCCACGCAACTCCGAGGTAAATAATTAATCGGATGGCAAAGCTAGCATTGGTTCAGAGGGCAAAAATAAACAGGCGGACCCCTGGTAAATACAAGACTTTTATGTGCTTTAACGGAATGGAGAGAAGGGATTTGACTTTGCCTCAGTAACTGCTACTAAGTAGCAGCTCAGTCTACTAAATTTTCTAGCCTCTTAGCGTCTACACATAACAACATATAAAGTGCATACAGACTCCAGTAAAAAGGAGTCAAAAGAAAAAAAACTAATTGTGTGACCTTCTTCAACGTATTTATTCCAAATTAACGCGAGGTATTCAAACTAATGCAGGAAAAGTGTATTTGGTTTACTTATTTCGAGACAAATTTCACTCGTCTAAGATTTGATCCTTACACCAACGACTTGGAATTCTGCTCAAGCCAATGTTAGTCTCCTGGTTCTTTTGTACTTTACAGCAGTAAATGCTTCTAAATTCGTACGTTTACAAGGGGGGCCAAAACGTTTTAAATCCCCACAAACGTTACAGTTTCAGTCAATCAACCAGGAGAAGGAGGAAAAGCAGTTAATTCCTACCTCAACAACAAAGTGTTTTGCACTAGCCGGTTCAAACTTCATGGCAATAGTGAGCACTGCGATGACACCCTTGATGAGCAAAGTAAGTTGACGTTTCCTGTCCACCCCCAAAGCTGTCTCTAACTCGTCGTCGGGTAACAGGCATCCATTGAGAAGGACCAGTTGATGAATGATACGCACGGAGCCGTTACATTTGCGAAAGATGGTTCTGCACCGATGCGAATCGCGTAGGACGTTACAGAGAAGTCGCAGCACCTACAAGTACATTTCAGAGAACTGAATAGGAGACAAAACCTTTAGTTAGAAATTAGACGATTGGCCCACCTCGATTCGAAGAGAAATATTAGCCGAGGGAAGGACGTCCAGGAGACCTAGAAGTTGGTCCTCCATCGGTGACACAACCAAGACCTCATAGAGTAGACCAAGGGCATGCTTGACCACTCTAGGAGGCAGGGAAAGGTTAGGCAGAAGACGGGTGAGGACACAGTGCACTCCCTTGAGATTTGAGACGACGAGAATATCGGGTGCAGACTGGTAGACGGCGGCAGTAAGCAAACGCAAAATGGTGATCAGAAGGTCAACTAGAGGTGTCTCCACGGCCTGATCTATTACGTCATAGATTGAGATTTTGCGAACGGTCGATGTGGTGACGCCAGAAGTAGCTTGATTGAAGACAGGAGCAGGGGTGAGCAAGGTTGACAGCACACATGACGCGCATTACTTCGATAAATCCGCATCTGCGGCATGACTTTCAGCGGCAGCTTTTCACACTCCATCGAATTAAATCCGCCCGTGGATCCATTCGCTACTTACTGCTGTGTAAATGTGATTACAGCGAACCGAAAACAGCCGCGCTGCAACGCTCGCTTCCAAGTTTGGTGAATTTTCATCGAAATCTAGCAGCTTTCGAGTGTGCTACTTCCTGCTTTAATAAAGGTTTTTAAATGTCTAGCGTAATTGAGAAGTTTATTACAGTTGTTATGGCAATCTGGTAATATGATAAACTGAACGCTCCCATAATAAGCACATAACAAAATCACATGATGGGAGTAGGAAAAAAATAGGATGGAATAGCATTTAGCCTATTTTTTTCATACAAAGTGCTAACTTTAAAATTTGCTTGCTCTAGGCAAAATCCTAAGACTTGTGGTTGCCATCATAGTAATACGTTTGATTAAAATGGGCACTTTTTTTATAAGTACGAAATTTGAATAATTGAATATGGGTAAAATCATGAAACAAACAGAAGGCAAACCATTATACGCATTCGAGTGATGAAGAATAAGTCCCAAGTAGTGATGGTCACCCAGCAATTCTGGGAGAGGAAACGAAACGGTGTTTAACACATCATCATTCAGATTCAGCCAATCAAATCACGAGTTTTATTGGAAATCCACTCTTTGGTTTGATCAGAAAATAATTATATTTTTAAGCTCAAATAAGTAGTCCCATGACCAAGAGAATAGCAATCCAAAAGCAGACTAAGGCCAAATGTACCATAGTAAATACTGGCAAAACTTTATCGAAAACTCACCCAACCTACCGTCCGGGGAGCGAAACATCGTGTCAGTGCATCTCTCTAAATGTTGTGTAGTAACTTCCAGGATGCCGACATTTCGATAGAACTCCTTCATTGTCGGAAAGGTGAGGATCAGACGAAGTAGGCAGGAGAAGGCGTACTGTAGACAGGTGGGATATCTGCAAAGCAAAACGAAGAAATTGAGATTGTAAAACGCATGAGTATAAAAATTGTAGGCGGGAAGTACATTGAACATACTTGCAGTTTCTTAGCAAGAGTGCAACACTACTGATCTCCTGCAGCGGTACGTAACAGAGGTGTTCAATCAGTGAGGCGAACACATCAAAGAATGTTCCCTAAATGAGTAAAAAATTGACGTGTGGTCTACAAGCAAAGAGCAACTATATAATAGTAAAAGTAAAACTGCAGACGCAACTGACTTTTAACTGGTGGCATAGCAATTAAATTCAGTGGATTTGAAGAAATAAAATACTGCGCCGAATCTTAAAAATAGGTTTGTTGAAAACAACGCGAAGGCTACATCGAAAAAAAAACAGCCATACATAACTACAGTGAAAACTGCCGATTCTACGCATGGCCTGAACCATCAGCATCGGAATGGAAAAGGGGGTTTAAGAGGCTGAACGCGTTCCTAAATGGCAAAGTCCCGAGGATGAACAGGCGATTTTAAACGACTCAAAATTGTGAGCAACGATGTGTGCCAAAAACGCTCGTTGGAGGCTTCGACTCTACAGCTGAATTAAATGCAACTTTACGAACATCCTGTGATTTTATCAACAAATGTGAAAGTGGAAAGCTACTGGATGCGTTAGAAATCCATCGGATTGCTTCATTTCCCACCTTGCAGTTAAACAGCAAAATTTCGACTCAAAGACAAGATATGTATTGCTGCAATGATGGTTATGGTTGTGGACCCTTTGTTCCTTATGGCTCATGAGGGAAAATGGGGCGCTACGACTACGTACCTCCGGGGTGGACCGAAAGAATAGGATTTTCAACAAAGAAAATCTGCAAGCTGGCAAGTTATGTGGAGTCTTGCATGCATATCTATGGATAGCTGTAATACTCTAAGTAGAATACCTCCGTGAGATTCAGGAGCACGGGTTGCGTGTGTCTAATAATGGTATTAACGTTCCTAAACTCCAGTACCTTATGTGCACCGTAAAGAATGACCCGAACGCCATATTACTCACGATCTAGGGGAGTGAGAGTTTCAGTAGAGCAGAAATGGGAATAACTCAATGAAGCAAAAATGAGCTAAGTGCGGACCTATATGGAATATTATATCCATTTTCGGAGGCAGCGCGCAACTCTAATGGTGCTGCTCACATTCACATGCTCCTACACGATGTAAATGTTTTAATGGCTAATTCCAGCACAAAAAGGCGGGCTTCAAGAGATGGGAATTTAAGATAAACAGATAAAAATAAGATGACTAAGTACCTGAACTGAATCGGGTTTGGTGGCAATCACCTCGGTGATGCTGCTGATGAGATTATGCTTGTCGAGGATAAAGTAGTTCCCCGGCGAGCGCTCAAACAGGTCCCGAACACGCTCCAACAGCTCGTTGCAGAGGTACGCGGAGCGCGCCTGCACAAAAGTCACTTGCAATGTGTCAATCGCCCGAATATTTCGTATAACCTCCCCTAAAAGGTAGTGGATGCGGGAAATCTAAACATGTCGCTAGTAGGCTTGTAAAAACAAAAAGTGCTCCAACTGTGAAAAAGAAATAGTGCAAATCATTACGGATTTAACCTTTGAGCAAAGGTTTGTGAATCCCTAAATGTGCATTAGATTAATGAAAATAGTGTATTGTAAATGTACTTGTTCATGATGGTAACCAGCATTCTAACTTTACATTTGTGTTCTACGTAGAGCCTCAAACAATAAATCGTAACCATACCTGATGCAAACTTGACCAGCCAGAGACCAGATGCACACAAGAAACTGCCATTTGAAATAAACCCTATGACTGCCTTAAGCGCCAAACTCGAGGGTCGACACCCATAAAATCCCGATTTCATTGTTATTGCTCTCTCGGTTGGTGTGATGGCATTTTACCGCAGCTGCTTGACATAACTTTCATGGTCACCCTTCCCTTACTTTACTAAAGCGAATTTGAGGATTGCAAGGATATAATCAAGGGACACAGTGGGTTAACAGCAGCCCAAGGACCTCTGCGTGGCAGTGGGTTACAGCGGTGCAATATTACAACATTAAATCGCAATGAGACCTGCTCCATCAATTGCAGTAATGGTCGGAAGAGAGGTGAGAAAGCAGTTAATGGGAAAGGATTGATTCTGCAACGAAATGGGCACATCACTGAATAAGCCAAACTTAACAGGCTAGGAAACCCTGGCAACCATCTTACTTATTCATAAAACCATCATCACTTGGTACCGATAACGCCTAGACACATTGAACAAGTGGTGGAAAGCTACCCGTGTACAACACCCCTAATGGCAAAACCTTTTCCATAATCACATGCTCCAAATAACTAGTCCATTACCTTTTGGTTCAAAAAGACATTTCAAGCTTGATGACTTAAGTACACGATTACAAATGAAAAGAACTACTACCGTTACAGAATAGAAACAACAGAGCTTTATAAAAGACGATTATTCAAGCGAATTACTAAAGTAGGGGAGACGGGCGAAGGTATTCCAGGAATATCACTTCCTTAAGAGCAAAAGTACAAGTAGACCGCACGACCAACCGCGACCGGAAGATGGGCATGACCAGAAAATACAGGGTCAGAGGCACAAGAACATTTCATGAAATAGTCCCAACAACATACACGTCGAAGGTGGTTCGGTCAAATTAACAGGAAGCTCTGATTACAAATTTCGCAGTTATGTGGTTGTTTTGGGACTCTATTTCTGACGATAATTGCCAATGGACGGTCGACGAGGCATGAAAAGTCACTGGCATTGAGTACAAAGCACGTACAGCAACACCTTGGAAATTCAACTTGCTTATTCACATGCCAGTTCTAATTACTTTATCACGTTCGTATTCATTAAGAGAAAGAATACTGCTAAAGGAATATCGTGCAACTTTAGACAACTTTTTCTTGGTTTTGGGTAGAGAAACGCAGAAAATTCAGCTAAGGTATGCCGAATTACCAGTTTACTCTCCCATAAGAAAACTGTCTGATGTTTTTCTACTCACATCATGTTATGGATTGTTTGAACGTATAAACACGGTGTAATTAAAGAAGGGATTTAATATTTATCTGATTTTGAAGCCCGTAAAGACCCAAACAGTAAGTACTTTACTGAAGCCGCTCAAGGCAAGTCTTTGCCCTTAAACAAGTTCTTAATGTAGTTCGACAGAAATTGTGCACACACTTGATACTAAAGAACGCGTTAATGTTAAAATTCAAAAGAATTTTGTAACTCACGGTGGCATGCTTTATGTCAAAAGAAGAAATGACTGATTTCGATAAATACCACAATTAAGCGATTACCTCGGACAGTTTACTTCATGTGCATACTTTGCGGTCCTGATTGCTGCTTCAGGATAACATTCTCGAAACTCAAGATAAGTTAAGGAATCGACATCCCTTATTTAACAGCCGAGCACTTAAGTTCTACAAACAGGGTGTCATGACCAAAATTTAGAAAACATTACACAGACAGTTGTTCTAGTCGTGCATAGCACTGTACAGACCTTTCCAGTCCCTCGCACCTCCACCTTAACAACAGTATTATAAAGCTACTGACCTTCTTGACCTTCTTCATGGTCATAATAAAAACACTTTTACCTTCACATGTCTAATAACATTCAGAAGCACTATTAGAACAGTATTATATTCAAGAAAGTTTTGACAGTGATGGTTGTCAATAATTGAAGAAAAGCTTGCGATCTTATGAAACTTGTCTACAGCTGATAATGACTAGAACCGTGCTTATATTATTCATCAAGCAGTGATTTTGATGAGACACTTTAAGCAGGGCACCAATGCTGAGAGAAATAGTAAGCCGTATCCTACTGACGCATAACCTAGTCATAAATTCAATGAAAAGGATGAAGCGGATTAACACTTACCCTTGGCTTTAGGAACGTTGAGTCGGAAACCGGGCAGTTGGAAAACCTCCACAATAGCGCTATTCTTCGCGCGCAACTCTTTTGAGCCCACGTAGATGAGGTCACCCAGGAGGCGGGTTAAGCGATGACAAAAAAAGTGTGCTTCCTCACCCTCCTCCAATTCGTACCTGGGCGGCAAGGAGAGAAAGTGAGTAGTCGAAAGCATCAATTTAGGTGCCGTTGAAGAGTACAGAAGGTTGTTCACCCATTCATTTTATCTTAATGCGCATTTTAGAGCAACACTTACAGCGAAAAATAAAGCACCGGAACTTCAAGATGTATAGGCAAAATCAAAGGTAAAGGTGTGACTGTCAAATCAAAGGAACTGGCTAGAAGGATTCTCCTGGATGTTACCGAATGATTTCAGAATAGGATTATGGATGAAGGCGTTCATCACTGCGTTGTACTTTTTGGCAAAAGAGAAGTGTGGCGAAGCAATTGGACTTAAAAGAGGGAACTGAGAATGTCCTGTATAGCACCGCTTTAAACTAGGTACTTTTGGGGCCGTTTCTTACTGTATTAATGCCAGCGTTGGAGTAGACGGAGGGAGTTTGAAGGATAAAACCAAATTCTGCAGGAGTTGGCAAATGCATTCGATCTCACATGTACAAAGACAAATTCTCTTTACTTTTCCATTTCTGATAATGCTTAAAGCAGCCTTAGTGAATTAAGGGTCTGAATGCAAAAATACGCGACGGATTCACAAAACCATAATTCGAGCAAACTAATTAGTACCGCTTATCGGCGATAGAGAGCCACTTCATGAGAGTTGCAAAATCGGTCACTCGGCTTCCAGCGAACTGAGAAAAAGCACTAGTGCAAATGTCATCACCTTGCTCACTCTTTAGGTTTCTTCACTGCCAGCCAGCATCGGAGAAACCGCCACTAAGATTGAGAAGATATGGTGCACCGTCCTTTGAAACATTCATACAAAAACTTTAATTGACCAAAGTAGGGGAATTCATGTATAATGATCTGCTAATGTAATATTTTCAAAGTGGATGACAATGAGGGGTAGCTGATAGGCCTTTTGTTGACCATAAGGGCCCACCTGAATATCAATGAAAGATTAGAATACACGGCAAACACCTAAAAAATACATTGAAAACGTGAATTTGATACCATTTTATCCAAAATTGAGAGTGATTTACACTATATTAAACTTCAGGAGAAAGTATAAAAGCACTAAATATCTTAACTTCATGTTGTGGAAGATATATACAAATGCGATTCATCACGTGGGGGAGGTTGCTAGTGACGACTAGACGATTCAAGCATTTCCAAGCTGTTGGGAAGTGCAGTTGCAATCGAAAACGAACACTGCATCCATATATTTGTCTATGATATTGAGACGAAAAGTAGTTAGACTATCGCTAGATTTTGGCTTCCTATAGATTGGGCTGTGCCACACTTATGTCCGGCCGGATCCCAAATACCTCTTCCGGGAAAAAAATAGTCGAACTCAACCACAGTTAGTTTCAAAAAGCAAAATACCTTATACGGATCCTCATTAGTAACATTGGAGTGTAGTGTGATTACTTTAAAAGAAAACCGCAAACAGTTTAAATTCATGGAAAAGGAAATGCTTAATTCTTATCGCAGGTACTTTTGAAAAAAAGGACAAGGTCACAATTCTAATTCTCCATTCACTAGGCAGTGAGTTTAGCCACTTCATTTTCTCGGAATGATCCGAAGTGTTCAATCAAATACTTCTCCATTGGCATTAAGGCTAGAACCCTAGTCTACCAATAAATTCGATGGAAAGGTTTATCCAAAAAAATACTGAAGAGATAAGAAAGGGTATTGGAATAGATGTTACATTTCATTCATTTATTCAAAGATAAGTCACCAGAAAACTATGGACGTCATTCATAGTTAAAATTACATTCCCATGAAATGGCAAAATACAACAAATGAGTACATTCATCTGCTGCACTACGAGATAAACGAACTCCAAGAGGTTACAGATATCTAGTTCAAATTGCCTTGTCCAACGCTACACGAAATTTAAGAACCACTATCACAATTGAAACTACTTTACATCCAACTATTAACTTAAATACATAGGCACCTTATGGGAGTTAGCGCATGTGCATTGAAGCGGAAGCATTGGACTATTGCAATTTGACTCTCCGTGTACTAGGCCCTACAACAGAGAAGTCCCGTGACGATCAAAGTTGCCTTTGAGGAGAATAATGCACACTACGAAGTGATAAAACGCACCAACACCACCTTTATTCGTGACCTACGTCATATGAATGTCTACGGCATTTTCGGAAAGAGGGATACTCAATGTCCTTGCTCTTTTTCACCGGACTACAGCGCAAGCGAAATCGAAGACTTATGAGGTCACTAGCACTATTAAAGCACTCCATGCGAATCGTGTGCGCTTCATTAAGAAATGCCACGCTCAATAGTTGAACTTTCGGCCGTTTCATTTCGCAACTTTTTATTGACCGTGGCGAAGGTGCAATAGGCGCCTGTTTGGGTTTGTGTTTACCCTCATTCCAGCCCTCAGCTAAAACTATTTCTACGCAAACATTTTATCTAGTTTGGGAATAATTCCTCGTATTCATTAGACCACCATCTGAGGCAAAGGGATTCCAATTTCTTCTAGGCGGTGAGCAGACAATAAAGATGAGAAGAGTGCCATTCATTGGTATCGATAGCAGGCTTGCTGTATGCCTGCCTTGCCAATCTTTGCGTGAAATCTATTAACTAAAAACACTTAAAAATCACAAATCTAGTCTTCAGTAGTGTGGCAATTCCAGCACAGTTTTCGGTTCCAAAGTGTGATAAAGTGATATCGTAATGACATGTTGATAGTGATTACAAAAAAAGGTCCGAAATGCTAGCTTTCCTCCCACTAGCACGGTGTGTAACGTGAACTCGAAAACCGATACATAAACACGTCGGTGTAACTGCGACATACGTGTTGATTTTACGAATACACATTTACCTACACCAGCAACACCCAAAGTCTGTCAATCCGGAAGTAAAAATGTCACACAGACTAAGCTTGAATTTATCGTAAACTCCGCTCCTTATTTTAGAACTTCGGGGCTCAAAGAAGGTGGCACATAATTTTCACTTGGTTTTGGTTGGGTAGAAAAGCAGAAAATTATTAATAATAAGGAGTTCGAACAAAATCATGGCTGGACCAGCAAAGCGAAAAGATGTTTTATGGCCCAAAGCCAGATATGACAGGAGCAAAGTGGTTTGATGGGATTTCAGAAATGCGCAGATGTCGCCATCACATTATCCAAGCACTGTTGTGAGATCAATACCCAATGGAAGTCGGAGACGGTTTCGAAGGCATTCAAAAAATGAAGCTTGCATGGACAAGGTGTCAATGTTGAGGGAATCAATTAAGAGGACTGATAAAGTGGGTATACTAAATTTAACCTGTTTTCTGTTACAAGACTGATTGTCGACGTTAAACAGAGTATGCAGCAAATGTAACTCATCTCCGACAACGAATGCACCATTTCTGACAATTACTGTTGCACCACGCTTAAGTTTCCGTCCAAACAAAAGATCACTAATTTGTTTATTTAAATTATAAAGTTGCTGGCACTTCAAGCTCTGCCTTGGCACTTCCGTTGGTCGATACGGCCTCTGAGCTAGCACTTCCGTACGTTAACAATACATTTTTAGCGTTAGCAATATGCCTTCCCTTGTGTTCAGGACTTACGGCGCTACAAAAGTGCGGCCTATCGTATTGTAATAAAAAAGGGCACTTAGTGTGACCCACATTGCGAACCTAAATGGGATACATCAAAAGGGCAGCAACCAAAATCCGGAACAGAAATTACACAAAAGTATCCATTACCGTGCATTTGGATGGGACAATAAATGAAACCAAGAGCAAAACACATTTGTGGATGCATAAAAGACTTTTTGAACGCATTCTACCGTGAACTAAGGCAGTATTACATTATTAAAGGGGATCTGCATCGACAATGCGAGGACATAGGGGGACGCGCAATAAAGCAGTTTTTGTCAAGTTTGATCAACTCGACGGCAATAATAAAACTTTGGACGCTCTAGTGATCCAGGGCAGGAGGGGTACACCATTAACCATTATCAAAACATTCAATTAAAAGGAACGAGTCTTTTCTGCTAAAATCTCCCAATAATGTAGGAGAAATGAAGTTGTACTACGCCCCCCAGATTTAATGAATGAGTTTACCGGAAAGACCCAAAAGTATAGGAATTTTGACAATTCTTGTGAATAAAACAACATGGAGGTGTAAGAGAGTAAGCCTATTATTCGTTTTATAACAGAATGGGTGACTTCATTATCTTCTCTACATCTAATAAAGCGCAACTTCGTTTCTCCTGATCTGCCACCTCGCTACATCATAGTCTAATTCCCCCAACCACGAGCTGAACATTGGCCAGGATGACGATAAGAAATAAATAGTTGAAACCCGAGCCACTCATTGGTTGTTTGCGAATTCAGAGTGAAAAACTAGGTCATTTTGAGGGACAAAAGTTTTCTTCAAAGAGACGACTGAGAATGGGAACTTATTCGGGACTGAAATAAGGACCGACAGAAAACGCTCCACATTTTAATGAGACACCAAACTACTTGGAGGTTCGCTACCTCAACGGTGAGTTTAGAATGCAGTTGCATTATGCTAGAAGTGCATGAAGGAACACATGCGAATACCCAAGCGGATGCGGCAAGAAATTTTAGGACTTCGAGTAAATGGGAGAGGCTAGGTGTTAATTTTATTCACATGCCTAGGACGGTGGATTTTTATGCAGGGCAAAAGTAATAACAGGATAGCGGAGAGAATAAGCAATGAACTCCCTGAGAAACAATCTACTCGTGAGAAACTGCCAACACTTCACCTAGCATCTAAATTTGATAAATTTTACCTAATTTCCGTTGCTATTTTTTATTAAATGCCATGGTGATAATACATTCTTGTTGGGGGTAAATGGGAGTGGATTTTTTCTTTTACACGGAAAAACGCCTAACAAACAGATGCGGAGAGAGGAATAATGTCAGCGATACCTTTTCGACCTGTCAATGGAAAAGCCACGGATAACCTAAGATACCAGTTATTTCAGATTTAATTTATTTACTTGTAAAATTAGATTTCATAAAGGAGGACTTAAAAGTACTGTCAAAATAAGATAGACCGCAACAAAGGTTAGCCATGTAGTAATTAACGTCGTCTTACGGAAATGGCGGACACTGTTAGCCCCAAATTGACATTGCATGACAATACTATTTGTAGCAAAGACAAACAACAATTGCCGACGTTTTTGTAGTTTGCAAAGTAAGAAGGTGTAAGGAGTCTCACTAACAATCTCATCCTTAGCTCTAGCAATAGTATGAATTTGCACCACAGTTTAAGGCGTTATTCCATTACAAACTGCCATTAAAATGATATTTAAGATAGGAAACATAATCAATTACAAACTCCGATAATCATAAATTGAATACGAAACAATCAATACAGTTTCATCGACAACGATAATGCGCAATTAAGGTTGCCATAAAACTGGAAAGTATTCTCGAGAAATGCTAAATAGCCAATATGTTAGAGTATCCAAGGGATCCATAAAGCCCAAGTGGCTTCCAATTGAAGAGCGAAGAACATAGTGAAGGAGATGAGGACCAGATATAACCCATCTAGATGCTTATTAGTTCATTAGATAATCGTTGTTCAAAAGAAGTACTTAGCTATCCTACCCATCCCTGTAGTAACCATGGCCAAGGGAGATGGGGGGTACACAGAAAGCCCACTCTACATCACTAATCTACGGGGAAAAAATTTAGATAATCTCACCAAGGTCCCAATGGTTTAGGATCGCTATTACGGGATTACCAGTCGGCAAAGTGAAATAACTATGTCAGCAGTTAAGAGACCAAAGATAAAATCGGACACGAATGTCTTGGTTTTAACGTGAATTCACTTTCAGGAAACACAACTCGACATAAATTCCGTAAAATTAACTGCTTCCAGAGTTTTCCAATCAATTGCGTTGACAATAATATTATTGCTGTTTTTTACTGCTTGAAGAGCAACTATTTTCACCTGCTACAATTAATGGGGAAAAAGTAAAATGGTCAGTTTGGTCTCAAGATAAATGGGCATAATCTAACCTTATTCTTGCAAATACAGACCCAACTCTAATTTTAACGAAATCTGAGATAATCCTGATAAATAAAGGGTTAATTTTAAGGTTGGATTTAAAATAGGGAAAGGGGGAAATTGGCCTACTTACTAGTGACAATTTGGATCAAGGAAATGATATTTGTATTGCCTTTCAACGGATGGAGCCGAAGTAATTTTCAGAGAAAAGCAAATAGAGCATACTCGGACACATCACACTTGCTCTAACATTACATCAAATACTGTTAATGCAGACAGCAGTAAAAACAAACCCACTTAAGCAAGTAATCAGTGATTATATTATAACCACCGGCAGCATGGAAGTCATCCAGTAGTTGCGAAGTTGTCGAGGAGGATTCAGACAATATTTGAAAGAGAGATATAAACGCTTCTATGGAATCGGCTTTGGGGAGCTGTATTTGCTTCAAACGCTCCACATAATCGGTAATGCATCCGGCATCTGAAAAGGCAAATCTGAAGATACCCCGACACAGACACCGAAGACTACAGCAAGGGAAATAGCAAGATAACTCACCGTGAATGTACTGGACTACGTGTGGTGTCAAACAGTTCTGCGCCAGAGTGGTAAGAATCGTGCAACTGCTCTTGCGCCAAAAGGCGTTTGCAGACTGACAGGGATCCACCGCTGCACTGAGAAGGTGTCGTAAGGCATCAGTACTGGTCATTTCTTCAACAGCTACCGAGGATAGACAAACATGCTGCAAGAGCTACAACAGACGCTAATTAGCGTTAGATATTTCCTACCTGGGTGAATTTATGCTGTAAATGCATTCTATCCTTTAGAGCATCTGGATTTGAAACAGCAGGCAAGTCAAGAAAGATATAGAGACATTTTACAAGGGTTGACGGGACGCCGGCTGCAGACATGCATTCCAGAAGGCTTGCACTGCAAGATAGTTTCTCCAGCGTGAGAAGGAGAAGATTGCCAATCGGCACTTGGCTAAATGGAGGAGACGTGGAAGCTTCAATAAGCCCCAGAGAATCCGAAAGCCCATCTTCAAGAAAATCTGCTATTAATTTACTTCCATCCTCTATAAAAGTGTGAGAATGCGGGTAACCAGACCTGAAGTTTGATCTATGGCACGAATCCGTATCTCCTTCACAAATAGACTCGACACAAATGCACAAAAAATGTGGACATCGGAAAAGTATTCAAAGATGTCTTGGAAGGTAGAGGAGTAAAAAATCTGAGAAGATTATGATATAGAAGACGTTGACTATACCTCATTAAACAGTGGAAGGGTGTCGTATATGAATTCCTCCTGTTTTGCAGAATCGCGACATTTTTTGCAGGATGATATTAGCTTATTTAGTCTGCAAAGATTTGTCTGATCACTTTCTGACAGTTGTTTGATTTTGTTTTTGTAAACTAGAAAATGACTTCATACCCTAGCCCAATATATTTAAAATAGACATCCTTAATGAAGGTCTAGTGAAATG